GGGCAACGCAGCCTTCGCTGAGCCCAGCAGCTTCCTCATTCTTTCACAAGAGCCGCGGTGGCTGCAAGCTGCCTTGCTTTATGAAATTCCTGCCTTTTGTCCAGCCTTCAATGCAAATAGGACAGGTGAGATAAGATCTGAGCACCCCAGTGCTTGTCCTTTTTGCTTAAAGCCAGCCTGGGCTTCTGCTGGTGGCAAAACACTCAAAGGTCCTCGTTTAAAAAGAAAACGGAAGATAAAAGGAAAAGACAAAGCATTAAAAGCTGCTACCCTTCCAGCAATGGTTAGTCACAGGGAGCTCTTCCATCAGGTTACAGACTGATGATACACATTTTGCTTTGTCTTAGGAGGGTGAGGGGAAAATACTGCAAGATTAGACTGTATTAGCATATATACGATCAAAGTTTGATTACAGCATCTAGTTACAAAGAATAAGAAACACATTTCCTGTGGCTCAGGAGACGCACCAGCTTATACTGCAGCGCCGGCTGACAATCTCACAGAACTAATGTAACGTGGCTTGCTAAGATAACATCTGCCTCTGGAACAATAGGTTAGGTTTCGTGAGGTGTTTGTACAGAGCAACACAACGGTCCTATTCCTGCAGCATGTGCGATTTGCAGAGCCTACTCCGATGACGTATGTTGCCACAGCATTGCCATTTCCAGAATATCTTTTCATACAGCTGTGGACATGTAGTAAAACAACCTCTGGAATGTGTTTATCTCGCTGCTTGTGAGCTAGATACACGCTTTTGTTCAACAAGTGAAAACATTTTCTTTTTCTGCAAGCCTATCTGGCTCAAGCTTAGGAAAGGTTATTGATTAAGCACCAACCCCTTTTGTAATGCCCATCACACCTTACTACTGCCCAACAGGGAGACAAACGCAAGCGTTCAAACCTTCATCTCCTCCTTGGACAGGGAGCTGAACCTCAGACCTCACCTCCATGGCTTTGTGGAATCCGAACTGCAGGGAACTCCACAGCAGGACTCGACTGGAGGCATCCTGGTTCTATTCACTGCTTAAGAATGGGAGTTTAGCCTTACTCCATCTCTCGCTAAGACCGAGAGTAAAACTTGTGCTTAGTGAAACAGAAGCAGAGGTAGACCAAGGGGTTTTGACAATCCCATCCTCTGGGTTTTAAAATAAGAACACCAAGGAAAAAGCAGGAACTTGGAGAGAGGCAGATCATTCGGTGAACGTTTGGATCTTCCTTGTAAAAACATTTTTGGGTAGGAAGAGAAGGAAATCTAGAGTAACTGTTGCAGGGTGCGGCTATGCTTAACTGCAGTTTGACAAACAACCGTGAGGAGCAAGGCAACAAGACTTACAAAGAAGTGTACTAGTCTGATATAAAGCCTTATTGTCCAGTAAACTTATTCTTAGAAACAAACATTAATTAGAAAGACGGACAGAAGCTGAACTAGACTATAGCTAGGCTCCTTGACTCGATGTACTCGGATCACTTGCCTTCAACTTGGAGGGATACATTTTAGAGCTACTTAAATGGACACCACATCAATCCGCTGAAAATGAGATCTGTTTATAAAACCTGAAAGACTGCATAACATTAATAAGGTATTTCACTCTTCTTTTGTCGACTCAAACTGTTTTAGAACTGTCATTCAAACTTAACAGTGTGCTTCCAGTTCTTTTTACAAATCATTAGGTGAGTGTTTTTACCTTGGGTTTAACATATTCAAGCAATAACTGTGGCTGTATGCCCAGGGAAAGCTGGAATCCCCACCGCATTTGGGAATACTGCTTTAACCCCTTCTCTGTAGCTGTGTCATGCTAAACTACTGCAGAACAGGTGACACATGAGCGTGTTACATCATCCTCAGCAGTTCGCATTTTACTGTGCCGACAGAATGACATTTCCAAACCAGGCCAAAAGAAACCGTTAACCTTACATTTTATGTGCTTGACTTTAAAATTTCTCATCTGAGGACAAGACTGATTTTTTTTGAAACGTGTTTCCATATCGTTAAAAAGTAACCTCTCCACAGATTAGAAAAGCTTAGTCAAAACTTTGTAATATGAACAGCAGGGACAAGCAGAAGTAGTTCTGGTTTCGAAGGAACAGCAACATTCACTACAACTGGGAAGGCGTGCATGAGGACAGCTGTAACTGGCAGTTTGCAGTTCTTCCAAGGAATCTCACAAAAAAAGATTCAGTGGCTTATGGACACATCACTCCACAATGTGACATGCCACTCCTTTTTAATCAGTCAGGTTTCCACACAAGGTACTGAATATTATTCTATTTACATTCAAAAATAGCATTTTTCTTTCTTCAGTACATAGTGGGAATGCCCGTAAATTAGTCAGTAGAAACCCTTCTAACACAGGTGGAGGACAGCTTTGTTGATCTCTGGGTTCGTCCAGTCGTTCCGGATATCATCCAGGTGATTATCAAAATCTACAAGTGTCTCGTAGGACTTGCTGTCCAAGAGAGATGCGGCGATTCTCTGGGCTTCGGTCCAATCTTCACAAAAATCACTAGGATGTAAAATAACCAGGAATAAATAGCAATCACAAAGAAAATCTCCACCACCTCCTCTGCTCTGGAAATTAAGCCACACTCTCTGCAGCACGGTCATGGTGGTCATACCACTGCCTGGCTGCAGAACTCGGCTGTTCTGTCTCACTACATCAAAAAACCGCTTTAAAATCACCGTCAGCTACACCCACTGCCCTTACAGTGTCACTCAGCTACAATCAAAGTTTTGCCCTTAAGCAGACAACCTGTTTTTCCTTACTACTCGAACACAAATAAACTCTGAAGTTTACTCACACATGCGGGTCCTTGCACCTCCACTTGTTCTCATGAAGCTCATACACATGAATTGCAGGCTCTACGCATTCCATCGTAAACTTTGTGTTATCAACCTGTTGTGCAACAGAAAAACACCACCTTAGTCTCCTCCTTAAGATCCCAAGTAAAGAAATGAAATGAAAAAGTCAGTTTCTACAAACAGTGCACCTTACACTAACTCGTCCACTGTTCTACCTTCAAATGAGCCAAATTTTACAGGTTTCAACTGCCAACATCCTTGGTCACTGCAGTAAGGAGGCAGAGCATCGTTTGTATCATAGCAGACAAGAGTTTGGGTCACAGACAGGCGTCTAAAGCCATGAATATACAGCCTTCACTCAAGCCTTGCAAGCAGCGAAGGCCTTCACTTCCTTTGAGATGGCAGAGACCTAACCGCGGTCCCTCTGTAGACCAAGAACGTCACTGGCTACAGGTCACTGCATCTCTTCCCCAGAGCATTTGCAGGGAAAGACAAAATTAGTTACTTCACTATTAAAGGACCCAGAAAATAGCATTTAAACGGCTAGTCCAGCACCACGGTCCTAACATTAACAATACAGAAGGGGTGGAGGGGGAGGAATGAAGTAATTTACCATTATGAGCGCTGTATCGTTAAAGCCCTCTGCAATTCTGGAGGCCACCTTTTCCGCAACCTGGTTTGGACTGCAGCAGAAGGTAAAAGTAACTGTGTTATACGAACCATGACATTTCAGCTGAAATCAGCAGGATATGCTTAAAGAGATGTGAAAACTACACTGCGTGCTTACAAACAGGAACAAGATATCAAGCTGATGCTACAGTAGATTGAAGTCAGAAGGCCAAGAAAACCCCAGCTCCTCTCTTCAGCACATGATCTGGACCTCAGCTATGCTTAGGCAATGGGTTTTTGAATGGCAAAATGCTCACTGCAGACTTTCTGTGGAACGAATGTTTTGTGGCCTCCTACCTTCTTCCACCAGACCAAAGACTGCAGCCACCTTTGCCCTGGCAGGCATTTAAAAAAGAAACCGAGTTGGCCCTCCAGTCTGCATTTGAATCCACTCATCGCCCAGCTTCTCTACCAAAATCAGATAATCTTTTAAAGGAAAACCTTTACCATGTTTCAAAAGCGACAAGCTCTGTGTGGTGCCAGTTATCTTCAGAAATGAAACTGGAGCTTAAAAAAAAACACCAACCCAAGCCTGTGATATTCTTTCAAACCTCAAATAGAATAGACAAACTATGTCTTCTCCTTAAAAATGTCTGCAGCAGACTTACGTCCCTTGTAAGGAAAGGACAAATAATGCCCTTATCCCTGTTAGATAACTTAGCAGTCACAAGTATTACTTAAAAAACATACTTGAGACTGAAAGATATGCATTAACAGCATAACTGGAACATAGCATAATACTTTAAACAAGCTGTTCATATTTATTTTAAGTGCAAGCATGATGTACTCTTATTAGCCTTGACACTGGATTTGTCTAATAGATACAGGGAAAAATATCTGATACACATATCTAAAACTATATTGTGGCTCCACAGGAAGGCCCCCTTATTGCTTATTGAGTAATTTGAGTTAGCTAGCAGGGAAAAAAAAAATGACTAATCCTGGGGAAAATAAGTGAACAGAGGTATCGCTGCCTGACCGACATCATCTTCCATTTTAAGAGTGTCCCTTTACGATATAAAAAAATGCTTCAGTAGAACTCAGAGACAATTAAGTAGTCTAATAAGAATTAGGTCACTTCTTAAAGACCTTCCAAAAGATACTTGGAGTCATTTGAATTTACAAGATACATACTGCACTAGCAAATGCGCCTGCAAATTTTGGCTATTTCCCTGACAACTGTAATTAAACTGGTTGGCAGTCGTTCAAAGACTGGCCTTTTATAGTATCCACTAAAGAGGAGTGATTCTGGAAAGACTGGGGTTTCTGCACCTGAACAAAGGCCATATCCACCAGCACCACGAAGACAATGTGAAACCAGATGACAGTTGTCAAAGTTAATCAACACGCATGATTTACGTCGATGATTTTTGTTGGCAGAGTACAAAGTACAACATAAAAGAGCAAACAGAAGGAAATATTGCACCAACACACCTGGCATCTTTCACGCGTTCATTTGCCTGGTAATATCCAGCAATCACGTAGCTATTCTCTTTGCACCAAGAGTCAATCTGAAAAAGTAATTGGAACAATTAATCCCAGGGGAAAAAAAAAAAAAAAAAAAGAAAAAACCCCATAGAACTAAGGAAATCTCATGTCTGTCCTGCAAATAAAATGGTAATTGAAGCATTGCAGTATCTTTGCCAATTGCTTCTTTAAATATACACATATTTATATACATTTATGTGCACACTCACACACACAGTTTGGCTAACTTAACTGGAACAGAGAAACAAATCGAACCTTTGGAGGATGATGGAAAACATGAACCAAATGGAGCAAAAGAGCAAGAAGTTATCTCAGTCAAAGCCTGGCCTAAATTTGAATGACAAGACTACTAAAGAGCTTCAGCAACACTGCCTGGGAGAGGAGCCTAGATCTTACCTATTGCCATTTGTGGGTATTTTCTGTTAATGTTCATTTGACAGAGAGACTTAAGAAAGCATTCACCATGTGGATGTGTGACTGTACTGTCATTTAAAAAAGAGCATGTTGCTTTTATTTTTAATGTAACATTTCTAGGTTAAAATGTAACCATTTTTTATCTTAATCAGAAAAAACAGCTTGAAGTGAAAGGTAAATGCAAGGCAGAAAAAGGTTGTCCCATTTACCAGTTTTTTCAACTCACTCCATTACAAAAAGGCTTTTGCGATAAAATCGTTTTTCTTTGATAGTTCACCTGCAAGGGTAACTAACCACTGGAGCAACTTATCAACCAATGTGGGTGGATTCTCCACTCTTTAAAATCTTTCAGTCAAAACTGAACACTTTTCTAAAAATAGTCTCCAGCTCAGCCACAAGATAAGGACTCGATAAAAGAACTATTGGCATAAATTCTCTCATCTCTGTTATAGACATGGTCAGTCCAAGCAGCTCCTCCTTACTTAACATCTGTATGTAAACGCCTAAACGTCTGCATTTCTTTACATACAATTTACACAACTTTTGATTTGCACAAGTACAAAAGTTTATGTAGTTTTGTGTTTGTGGTTTTTTTTAAAGCGCAGTTTCAGCATGTGCACGCTGCTGTTCTTTCTGCTGGATCTGAACTCCTCCTGCTGAGTTTGTCTTGCTTTGAAGACACATATATATATGCTGTTTCTTCTTGTAGTTGAAGATATAAAGTCAGCATAATACAGAGCTCTGAAAGACAGAAGTGGAGAAAGCAGCTAGAATTTTCCTTTGCAGTCCCTAGAGAGCATGCATCAAAAACACCTCAACAGCTACAGTAAAACGGAGTCCAAAAATATATCTGCTGCTGACCTTTCGCATCCTGTAAGTGAAACCAATCTCATTTTTAGCAATAATTATGGTATTAGACTGCATAAACAAACAAACAAAAAAGCCATGTGAATAATCCCTCCTCTACAAGGGATGACAGGGATTTACGTGATAAAAAAAGCAAGCTATATAGCCCTGCTATAGCTGAGGGCCAACTGCTGTTTCAATTACAAACTCATTTTGAGGGCTTAGGACTATGGTTTTAATTGCTAGTGGCTTGAAAGCTTGGCATTAAAGCCAGAAGCCCAGATACTAAAATTAATAACAATAATAAAAAAATCCATCAATTTAAAAATTAAAACCCCAAGTTCTAAATCAAGTTTTTGTTGTGTATCGAAAATGTTTTTTGTTTTTTTTTTTTTTAAAAAAAAAGAGTATAATTTTTAAGTTCTTAGTTTGCTAAGTGGTAATTAAAAACTGCTTCCGTAAAAAAAAAAAAAAAAAGAAGGAAAAAAAGAGTCTTTTTGGCATTGGCATTAAAGCTGTTTCCACCTGCAATTTCCAAACACTCTCTAACTGCGGCATTGTCACCGCAGGTAGCCTTAGCATCAATTAGCCCCTGATATTTTTAGTCACGTCCAGCCCTGACAAGGGCAAGCCAACGGGGAAAAAATTGTATTTCGCTTCCACACGGCACGTGTCACCCCTGAAAAATCCTCTGATTTGCTGCAGCCACCAAAGGCAGGTGGCAGGGGGGGTTAGGAGAGCCCTGGGAAGAGAAAGGCTGTAACCCACTGCCATCTGACCACTGTTCCAGGGTGGGGAGCCAGCCGTGCGAACAGAGGGGGAAGTGCTGCTTGGGTTGGTTTTGCCTTTTTTCTTTTTTTTTTTTTTTTTTTTGAGGAGATGTGGTTGCAAAACCACATCAATTAGCTGAGAAATTCAAAGGCACAGAAAAAAAACCCAAACCATGTGAAACTTAATTCACTTTTTCTTTAATGACTCGGTTTTTTGAAAAGGATTTTAAACTGACGAGCCAAAGTGCAAATCAAATTAACGCACTTCTGCTCTCTCCTCCACAGCTACAAACCTTCAAGCACTGCTGCGTGTTTAAGAAAATCTAATTTTTTTGATTTCTTGTACCTAGGCTGTGCCTAAAGCACCGCTTGCAATTTTTAGAAGTTACCACATGGACAAGCCCGTTTGAAAGTACACCCTCTATTTTCAGATTAGATCTGGAGACTATTGCTCCCATTTGATGTTCTGGGATAGCTCAGGTCAGAGAAGAGGAGGTGAAACTCGCAGGGCTGCTTCGAGAAAACCCTCACACGTATGACCAGGCCACAGGCTTGACCAAGAATCAGCA